TCCTTGGGATCGCCCTGGTGGCCCTCATGGTGGCCCCCCTCCTCCTGGGCCCCCCGGGCCTTGGGACCGTCCTGGTCCTCCTGGTCCTCCCCCCCCTCCGGGACCTCCTGAGGTATGTTAGATATGGCACACGTCAACTTGTTCCTGTTCTTGTGCTAACGATGTGGGTAGTACCGCCGGTGGTAAGCGATCATTGGTGTCGGTTTGCTAGGAAGTGATAGCTGTTTTTTACCTGTATATATGTTATGTTTTGGTTGAGAGTTGTATATGATTCCCAATTGCAGTTGTTCTATGTTCGTCGTTAGCATGGTTCTTGTACGGATTTCGATTCAGTTAAGAGTTGTTTGTAATAATAGGTAGTATATACTGGGTATAAACACAAGGCTATAGAAAGCAGATTTACTCCCACTCCCCATCCAACTCAATCTCCTCTCCCCTCTCCTGTATTTCCAACATCTCATTAATCGTCCAATCCCGATACACATGACCGCGGGGTATATTTGTATCCTGGAAGGGCGTGCCCCGCTGCAAATGATCCAGTACCTTGCTGTAGTTCTCCTCAGCATATGTCTCTGGCTCATGGCCCCAGATCCACTCTGCTGTTAGATACTGGAGCCCCTTTGGTGTGAAGTTATCTTTCTTGGGCTTTTCAGAGTAGCTTTTGAGATTGATGAGGCCTAGCTTTTGGAGGCAGGAGACTCGGATGAAGCTGTATGTGGATTAGATTCATTATTAGTGAATGTTATACAATTACTATTCTTTTCATGAGAAGATGACCATAGACGTACCGTAGCCGATTGTGGATCCTCAACGCCCACGGAACCTGCTCTGTTCCTCCCGCCATTCGTAAACATGTAGCCAGCGACACTGCATCTTCAATTCCCTGTGTTGCGCCGTTGCCTGACGCTGGGATGTAGGTGTGTGCGGCGTCTCCAATCTGTACGATACGGCCTGCTGGCGATACCCAGGTGGGTTGGGGATCTCTCCACATGACGCGGAAATGGAGGAGTCTGTCTTTAGGTGTGAGACGGATGAGCCGATCTGCTACTTCTGGCCAGTCTGGGATAGTTGAGGTTATTTTGAGAACGTCTTCGGGGTCGGATTGGTGGGACCAAGATTCGGTGGCGCTTTCGTAGTCCTAAGGTTATTTGCGATGTTAGATCTAAGGAGGCAGGGATAGTATATGTTGGTGTGTTGTTAGGGCAAATGTCTGCTTGACTCACCTTGTGGGATAAAGTCCAGGACATGGTATCGGATGTCCTGATGACGAGGAAATGGTAGTGCTCGCTTTGACCGGATTAGTACAGTTTGTTCGTACTAGAAGCAGATATCTTGTGGAGGTATAGTCATACCCAGCCCAAAATTCGATCGGTCCTTCTTTTTCACCTACTACCGGAAATCGCTCTCGAACCATCGGATCATTCATGGCTATCTCGACCGGAAAAGCCGTCCGATAGAAAGCTTGTCCGGTTGGTCGTGCCCGAATCTCCTGCCCCAGTGTCACTTTGGTCGAATGGCTTCTCAACCCATCGGCAGCAATGACGACGTCTGCTTCTAGTCGTTCCCCATTCGTCAGTATTATACCTGCACGCCCAGTTTGGCTTCGCTCGAAATACTCCACCGCCCTGCAGCCATATTCGATGCTGATACCGATGGCATAGAGCTGCTTGAGAAGGATGCCGTGAAGTTGGGGTCTCCAATGGCGGGTGAGTTGCCCTGGCACCTTTTTGGAACCCTTGTCCTGCCTATATTCAACATGATTCGGCTCTGTTAAACGATCGCCACTCAAAGTGTAGAAGGCAAGATGAGGCACGAATGCAATCTTTTCGTTCTCTTCGGCCAGTTTGGGCCAATGTTTGAACGCGCGGGTTGCACTGGGGCCGATTGTGAACGAGTCACCTGGTGGGTTTGTTAGCTGCGATGTGTTTAATCATGTCGGTCAGGACGATGACTTGCTTGCCTGTAGTGACTTCTTCGGGAGATCTCTCGACGATTCGAACGTCGTGTCCATTGCGCCAGCATTCGAGAGCAGCCATTAGTCCTGCGACCCCAGCCCCGACTATCAGGACTGATATGCCGGTTTCTGGGTAGCGTTGGGTGCAGTCGTCTGTCACGGTCATTGTGCTGGTAATTGAAGTGTTTAGAAATGTTATATATGTCCTTCTTGGTCATAGAAAAAGAAAAGGGAATGCAATCTCCATTTATATCCTGAAGCATTGCGGGTAAAAGTTTATTGTATCTGACATCTATACAATCGGTGCTAAAGAATGCCGACACGGACGCGGGATGCCGCTTATGCCGACCGGCACCACCACCATCTCACTCTCTGCACATCTCCAACTCTCAACCACGCCTCAAGTCTGTCCCGTTCCCGACCGATATGTCCACTCCTGACGCTCGACATCTTAAGGCCTGCAGACCGTGTTCCAAAGCCAAGGTCCGCTGCGACCCCGGTCCGACCGATGCTTGCCAAAGGTAGAAACGGACGAGACCACCCGACCCAAGGATAAGCACTAACGACGGAGCCAGATGTCATCGCCTGGGGAAAGAATGTACCAGGCAGGCTTCGAAACCGCACACGGGAAAGCGGCATAATGTGTCGTATGTGTTTGCGCGTGCGCTTAAAATAATACTAATGGCTACTGACTAGTCCATATAGTAGTGACGTTGGTCGACTAGAAAAGAAGCTCGATAATGTGACTTCACTGCTCACAGCCTCGCAACGGTACATAGAAAGCATCGGTGGCAGCAATGCTAGTCCATTGTCTGCCACTGACAACACTCTGGTTCTTCCTCCTGTACTGGATGAGGATGTGGAAAAAATGCTTGCAGAGTTCAATGAGCGTATCACAGAGTTCCTTCCGTTTGTGGTACGCTCGCCTCGTATAGGTCTTGACGATTTACGCACTATAAAACCATTTCTGAACTTGGTTATTCCAGCGGTTGTCTGCCAAGATGGATCTGCACAGGTGGCTCATTCAATTAGAGCTAGAGACTACTGGATGGAGCATATGCTAGCTAACGGGGAGCATAGCTTGGATCTACTTCAAGGATTCCTCGCGTACCTTGGCTGGTGAGAGCATCTACATGCAGCGTATGATATGCAGACCTCTCACACTTCATCAGGACACAGACCATGGTTCCTGCGCCGCGTGCGACGATGATCAATAACTACCTCCATATTCTGGAGGCGCAGGTGATCAACCTCGACTTTCATCGGGAAAATAAGTTGTGTACTCCGGGCACGGTATTCTCCTACCTCCGGGTCTTCAAATATGATGAACGCATGCGCAATTCCCGCACCTTAGAGGAGCTGAGAGCTTACCTTGGCAGCTATTACATGGTCAATATGTGAGCCATACCATTCAACTCAACATCACTCAACGCTGACCGCAACAGGTTATCACTATGCCTGGGAGAAAAGGAACCCATGGAATACACGACCTACACAGACGACTGCTGCCGCAGAATCCAAGAAGCCGCCGAATGTGAAACCGACCCGTACCTTCTGCAGCTAGTTCGCATAGCACACATGGGCGAGAAAATATATCGCGCCGTCCAGTACCACGAAAAGGACACCCCTACCGGCCTAGCACCCAAAGCCATGGCAATACGCTGGCTACAGAAAGAAATCCAACAACTCAAAGATTCATATTCAGGCGAATACACTCAATCTCGTACGTCCCTCCACCAATCTAACCCAACCACCCTTGGACCTAACAAACACCCCAGTAATCCTCAACATGCACTACCACACCCTTGAGATGCTCCTGTACCGCATAGCCCTAGAGCGCGACTTCGAAGACACAACCTTCAACAACTACCCTATCACCCAAATAGACATTCTCTGCGCTTGCCTTAACGCCGCACGATCCCTATTCGACACCCTCCTCTCCATCCCACCCATCCTCTACCTCCAACTCCCATACACCTGCTGGACGCAAGTCGGCCACGGCCTCGCCATCCTGTCTCGACTACTCGTCCACAACGACCCCACAGGCTGCTGGGACCGAGAGTGGGCCCGGCAGACCATAAGCTTCGAAGATACCGTCGACTCTTTCTCCCTGAAAGTCGATGAAACCGTTGCGCAGGCGACGGCTGAGAATCTCTATGTTCCGCCTATCTTCACGCATATTAAAGCTAGGACGGTCATGTGGAAGGAGGCGCATCAGGCGCGCTGCGCTACTATGGATAAGTGGAGATGGAATCAGGAGCAGGTCCAGATGGCGGCGTCTTCTACAAGTGGGCCTGGCATTGTTGTGGATGGAGTGGTTCCTGATGTTAGTATGGAGGATTTGTTGGCTATGGGGCCGATTTGGAACTTGTTTAGTTTGTAGTTTGGGTAGATGGGTGTTCCCTTGTGTTAATGCCTATTACATTATTACTTTTTCTCCCTGTGTGAGTCATATGCGTGCTTGTGAGGACTGCAGGGAATTGGCCATGTAACACGGTAAGTACCTGTTCTAGCCCAGCTGGATGCTGTCATTCACTTGTAATGATCCAAGTGAGTCATAGATTAGATTAACTCGGCAGTTCACGTCGACGCGTCTCCAGCGCATACAGCTATTGGCTGGCCCCCCAAGAGTGGATTTTCGCGATAGTTTGACATCTCAGTCAACTCTGGGCTTTCACTGGTTATGGATGGTTGTGTGGTCTAGATTGAGCTGTTTATGCGTCACTATTTGTGGGGTTACCAGGTGGTTGTGTCACCAAGATAAGATGAGATGAGATGAGATCAGATCAGACATGGTACAGTTGATGTAATGATGTATGCAATGAACATTAACCAGGAGCTAATAAGTATCAAACAATCGTAACCAAAATATATAGTCAAAAAGTATACCAGAAAAAGAATAAGCGCTTATGCATCCCCGTTAGGTCATGTCAGGCAAAAAACAGAGTATCATAATCCTCCACGCAGCCCCGAGAGTATGTTCTCACATGTAATGGGGCTGCCTCCGTGTGGACATATCGTCCGTTCGAACATTCTGTTCATCTAGTCACCTTCCAAGCTTGTGTCTGGGGGAGCTGTTATCCCGCTGCCTCTTAATGACGGTAGAGGAGCCGGTAAACTCCTTCCATGCCTCCCACAGTATCCAACCGGGGACAACAACCCAGAGGCCGTTGAAGATAATGATATACAGCACGAAATACAGGAAGCTATCGGTAGCCAACGCTGTATTGCCAGTCAACATCTCCGGCAGGAAGGTCATGAAGCCTCCGTATATCTCGGCCGTCGCCAACACGATCATCATGAACCACATCTTTGCCTTGATCGCTTCCTTCTCCCTCGACTGCCGGCCGGCAGCTTGATAGACCCAATAGCTGATCAAGGAGGCCGTGATACCGCCGAAGATCACAGTGATCAGCTCGATCGAGATGATGGTAGGGTCGGCACCACCCCAGCGGTGGTCTGCTTGAGCATATTCATGCCACAGTTTGGCAGTCGGTGAGTTGGAGTATGTGGCGCCGTAGACGTGGTCTCTATCACCAAGGAAGACGGGGTCGCGGCTCTCGCTAGGGGAGATAGGGGCGTAGCTGAAGAAGCAATGGAAGAGGAAGAGACCTTCCATGCCGAAGTGGACGAGGGCATCGAAGAGGTGCCATCCAAACAGCCAGCGATCGCGTCGGGAGTGACTCGTGGCAGGGAGGAGATAGTTGGTGAGGAAGAAAGGAATTAGGAAGATGACGAGGAAGTAGAAGAGCGAGAAGACCATTTGAAGGTCGATGTTGAATGGCATGTTGGATGGTTCTGGAGGATTGGACCAGCCAATCTGGCTTTCTAGTATTTTCTCGGTTGTCTTAGGAATGTCGGTTTGGTTACCGGCGAGGGATTTGATGAATTGAAAGGCGTTCTCGAATTGGAGGCTCGAAGCTGCCCAAAGGGGCTCGAGCGATGTTATAAATGCCATAGTGATCGACACTCGCTCGCAGCGTGACCTAACAATGAGCAACAAAAGCAAAAGTGGTATATCAAAGACAGATGATGCTATTTATTGTTGACGGAGAAGCTATTTTTGAACCCCTGAAACGCGTGGATTTCCGTCATCGCCTGAGGCACCCTGAAACTATACCTATTTGGGTCGGCATGACCCACCGCTTTCTTTGTTGGGTTTGTTTGCTTTCTTTCAGCTTGACTCACACTTCTCCCTCTTGTTCATAATTTCATTTGGCCTGGTCGTGTTCATCTTCATTGATGGTACTTGTCGAGAATCCCTTTTGCGGAGGGAGGGAAGTACAGTTCCGTAATTGGCAGATACGAGCGGCTGTTGTCTGGACTGGATCCGGACGATGAAAGGAACTATGCGCTAACGCTAGATAGACTCCGCACGCACCAGCGGTTGATGATCTGCCCATGGATGTTGTTCCCTCCCTCATGGCATGGACAGTCCGTCACGGAGCCGATGCTCTCGGATCCGACAAGAAGGTTCATCAAGTTCATCTAGATATGGAATTCAATGCTATACAGCCATCTCGATTGCTGCTCACAGCATCCCGCGATAATGACCCTATGCATCAATGTTCGATTAGACCAACTTGACCCCAATGCAATGATCCGGGGTATAGCGACTCCGCTCTTTGTTGCTCCTGGGGCAAACTGAAAGGAACCACACCGTACGTCAGCCAACCATCTGTCGCTGAAAACGAATCTAGAGCGTTGAATCGCCTCGGAGCTATCACTTCCTGACACTGTGATTCGCACTTGGCCCGAACTCTATTACCTCGTACCCTAGCTCTGCAATGACAATCCCTGCTGTCCTACTTCATGCTGCGCCTCGTAGTGATCTTGCCCGTCGGTTGCATTGCCGATGCTCTCTCTACACGAGAACACTATCGTGTCCTGCCCAAGAACCGGGGGTTCTGTTGGTACACTAGAACTTCGCGCCATCCGCAGTATCGGAAAGAGTCACATGAAGCCCCCCATTTGCACCATCCTTCCTTCAAATTTCGTCTCGTGGCTTTCACGCCTAGTTGTATGTTTATAAGATACGTATGCCGAGCTATCGATCTGAGACACTGGCTACGTGCTGCGCCCTTCGTCTCCACCAGCCTCTGGCTTTGACACCAGTGTTTTGCAGTTGCTGCCTACTCGTGAATCACTCGTCAACTGACATTTCCGGCAACTTCCTATTCCTTTTTTTTATATCATTGACACAGGTAATACATCATAGCTTACTTAATTGATGGAAAGAGAAATGGCTTCCATTTTCGAAGCAGCGGATGTTCTGGAACTTACCAAACTGGCACGCGACCTATATCTTACATGCAATTCTATCTCCGGAGATGCCCCTGACGGCTTCAACCAGCTTGTGGCGAGCCTGGAATCCCTGCATAGCGTGTTTCAGACCTTGAAAGATGATGTCAGCTCCAGCAAGATCGAGCTTTCAGAGTCAGATGAGGAATGCAAGCATACCCTCCATCGGTGTCTGAATTCATGCTCAGGGACCTTGCAGCAGCTGAAGGAGGTGGTCGACATGTACCGAAATCTAGGGTTTGAGAACGGGAGACAGCTATGGCAGTCCATAGATTGGATGACACAGCAGGCATTCATTGAAGATCTTAAGTCTAAGATAGTGGCTCATACATGCCATTTGGGCGTATGTGTCGGCTCTCTCACCAAGTAAGCTTCCATAAATAGCCAAAATATTGACTGTATCTCACGTTTTAGGCCTTCGGTAGAAAGAATTGAAAGCTCGGCGACAAAAGATTCGGCAAAGGATATACCTCCCCCAACTCCTTCATCTTGGCAGGCACATGACGACGTCTCGCCTATTTCGATTTCAGTATCTACGCCTCGTCAGCAGAATGTCTTCATCCTAGCGGAGCTAGAAGGAACACAACCAAGCAGGTCAAATCCCGCCGCTCCACAACCCGCATGTCCGCCAGAAGACCCCTCTCATGTTTCAGCTTCCTCCGAATCCATTGTGTCGGGGCACTCAGACACGTCTAGTTTCACGGCTACTACGTACACCTCACCTACTAGTCCAGCTACTTCGACTTACAGCCCTTCGCATTCAGTTGTACCAGAGGTCTTTTCGACGGAGAAAGAAGTGGTTTGGTCTCGTGGACCAGGATCTGGATTCTCAGCTATCCAACATCAAGGGCGAATTCAACGGTCAACCTCAATAAAACCAGGCGAGTCAGCGCCGTGGGGTAGCCCTGGCCATTCAGGAGCTGATGCGATACAAGAACTCCACCGACGGCAACTACGAGAGCAGCTGTTCCGATCGCTGCGGTGCGAACCACGTGATAAGATGCATCAGCCTGATGCAGAACTTCTCGCAAGTTTTGATCATATAGCCCACAAGGAAGAGCGGGCCCAGCAACTCACTGCGAGATGCTGGCTGTTAGTTGCTGTGTGGTGGCTTCTGAAGGTATATATATACATACGCATTTAGCCTTTGACTGGTGGCAGCTGCTTATGTATGGTAAAGGCCAGGACAGCCCTTGCGAATAGCGAGAGATCAACAATTTCAAGCACCAGAGGCAGCGTGAGCCCGTCTGCACTGTCATGTAACTCGAGTCACCAGGCATATGTGGACCTTCTGAAAGCGTCATATATTCTATATGACATAGTCTTAAATTGTGACAACCCACAGCTGCTTTTGGAGGATGAGATCAGAAAAATGATCTCAGATCTATCAGACGTAAGCCAATCAGCAGACATCTTACTTTGTTCAGGCTAAGCAGTTCAAAGGGGCTCAAAGAAGAGTTTGGGCAATTTAGTGCCGTGGATATACCCGATTACGCTGCGATCCATTCGCAAAACCTCGACTTCTGGGAACCTATACAGCCCGAAGAGATGATTGGGAAGGATGGCCAACCAGCTAAGCCAGGGAACTTCTGCTATATTACAGTAGAACTGGAGGATGCTGGTAAAGAGGATGAGCAAGTTCTTTTCCGCACTTTCGTGAATGCAGGGATCGGGGCTAAGAAGCTCCGTATGCGATCCAGAGGCGCTCCATACATGTTACTTTTGTCTACAAAGTATGGTGAAAGCGAGCCCAAAATTAGCCTCTGTAACCAGTACGGAACATTTTGTCTACAACGAGACCGTAAGTGTCTATACATATGGCTAAAATGCCTAGAAACGACGAAACTAAATCAATCTACAGTGGCACCAGGGGATCTAGCTCAGCTGATCCAGGTATCAAATGCATCACTCACCAATCTATCCGTGCCAAAGCCAACAGAACCTCTGATCCTGAAATTTGACGCTATGACTTTGTCTATTTCATTTCAATACATGTCAGATATTATGCAAGTGATCAGCATGCCCAAAGCGTACTTCGATGCCGTCCAGATACGGGAGCCACTTGATTCCGACCAATTCACAGAAAAGGTTGTTTTCAAAAGTCCGGCCGAAACAGTTGAGCAGTTGAGGATGCCTAGCATGGTGTCAACCAGTCCTCCCACACTACACAGATCCTGCGAAGTGCGCATCTTGGAAAGGTCTTTTGGCGAGGCGTGGCGCTCTATCCGGCGCATGGTCATCAGTTCTTCAATAGCTGACAAGCCCGGGCAGGCTACCGAGCTTTTCATGCCACTGAGTCATGTACAAGTCAGCCGTACGACGGCTTCTGGGTTCATCTTGCTGAAATGGTCAGACACGGGCCAGGAGAGGTCCAGCAAAACAGACGGGAACTACCATCCACTTTTCACTTACGTGTATGACGGCAGCAATCCAAACATAGGCCTTGGTATCCAGTTTCGCTCACAGGAGGCTGCGGATAAACTGGAAAAGGCTGTTCTGGGCCTAAGCCAGAAGCCCGCCTTCACCTGGTCTCAGGCCAAAAGCTCAGGGCAGGTCTACGAGGTTGCTGACATTGCGCCCGATGAGAAACGCTACAAGGCGGTGATAATATGTCGCACTCGTGCGGAATGGAAGCAGTGCAGTCTACATTATCTCTTCAGGGATATGGACTACCTGTACGACCATTCTAATCTCCGTGTGCGATTTCCCCGTGCATTATTCGCCACTTACATATCATCACACGTTGACCAGCTATATCGGGCTGACGGTCGAGTGTTCTTCTCTCACTGCGAAAAAGAGTTCAAGGACATGACGGTGGAGTTTCACGAAGAGCGCGTGCTGATGGCATTCATGTCCTCGCTTGCATCAACATACAAGCTGGTCTTCTCCAGGAGAGCCACATCCCTCACGACTAAGGAAAAGCTGCTGGTCCTCGGTCCTAGAAAGTCAGTGAAAGGAGACTCACAAGTCCAGCTATGGCGTGATGGAAATATCATTCGCCTTGCTGCGCGTTGGAGCGACCGCATAACGGACAGGTGGCTCACAATGACCATACCACCATCTGAACCATCCAGAGCCGGAAACCTGGTCAGCTTCCCTCCAAGCAGCTATTCACGGGGGATGGTCCTCAACATGACAAAGATAGCTTCGGGGGCAGCCAAGAATCAGAAAAGAGAGCACAAAACAGGGCCAATCACGATCACCTTTCCCAATCTAAAAGGTACGCCTTCCTTTGCATAGACGAACGACGAGGCTGATGTGATTCAGACCGAGAAGTATTCGTTGCGATCATAACGGACAATCATCTGAAGTAAACGGGCAGACTTCATACTAAAGGATTAAATGTACTTTTCACAGGTGTACGGCTTCGTGCCTTTTTGCGATATTGCATGGGACCAGTATCCAAGATCAACAGGAGCATGTGCTGTTCGGGCCATGTCCCCACCGTGAGAATGAGAAATCCATGGAACTTGAAACCCAATTTGGAGACAAAAAAAAAAAAAACAAACAGTATACATTACAAGAAGACAGGGATTCTCAAATTAGGATTATAGATAATAGTAAAAAATACGAAAAAGAGTAGTCACGCCCGGGATCGAACCGGGAACCTTCTCGGCGCGTCAGATTGATGTGAACGAGAAATCATAACCATTAGAC